CTTCTGCCCTCTGGACTGAGGAAATACCATTCTGCTTTTCAAAGGAAGTGTTGTTGGGCAGTGCAAGTGTGTCGATGAAATCAGGCTCTTGGATCATTTGCTGGGAAAAATCTAAAGATTGAGCATACAACTTTTGTTTGTTATTGTTTGAAACAGGGTCTCCCTATATAGTTCAGACTGGCCTCAGACTCACAGCGACCCCCCTGCCTCAGCCTCCCAAGGGCTGAGATTATAGGCATGGGTCCCCAGGCCCTGCTCCAGCATATGACTTGAAAGTGACCATATATTTAACATATAGTAGGGTTGAAACAGGGAAGTGTTTACCTGAGTTTTAAAGCTCACTTTGTGGAGTGTCAGTGTAGCCAAAGTATTTTGATATTTTGGCTGAGAAATAAACTTTTTCTTGTTCAGGGTTATATCAATTCACTAAGAAAATTGAATTTTTAAAAATTTTTTTTGGTATCGGGGATTGAACTCAGGTCCTTGTGCTTGCGCAGCAGGCGGCGAAACCACTGAGCTAAATCCCCGGCCCAAAATTGAATTTTTTATTAGGGTTAAGGAGTAGTAATTTGTGAACATTTTTATAATTATTTTGTAAAATCCTTATCCTAATGAGCTTCTCAAAATTATAAAAATAAATACCATACAGCTTAGTAGTGTCCAGTAAGAGAATGTGATTCTTAATTTTCAAATAGAACACAACCAGAAGGAACTTCAAAATAACTTGCCAAGACCCTGACACTGCATCTTTGTTGGACTGATGACCATTTCAACTCTTATCACCCAGATTCTATGACCCATTTCTTGAATGTTTTTGTTAGAGAGTAACTAGCTCAAAATAACCAAGTGTGGAGGCTTTTGTTCCAGTCACCTTTCTCACCCATTGACACTCTAGCAATATGATGACTTTAGACTCTCTTTCCCAGTCTTCCCTGCGGCTCCAGCCCAGAAGGCATCTGCCCAAATTACCCTGAGCTTTTCTTAGGTGAGAGTACCTTATTCCACTGGTCTGACTGGAAGTCTTTCCTATTGTGGAAGTTCTGTTTCCCTGGTTGAAACAGCCAATCTGGATAACCTAAACTTCTGGGGCAACATTCTGACTTTACATCTACTTTTCTTTCCCAAATATCATCACACTAGTGTAACTGAGAACTCTTCCAGTTCCTTCAGAGGCCTAAACGCATTAGAACCAAACTTGGAAAGATGTGATTTCCCAGCCTCATTGCTAAACACATACCCCAAATAGCTGCTGCTTCTGCTGTACATATGGTATTGTAGATTGGCAAATCTTCCTTAGAAGAATGCATGAAGCATCTGAGGTAAGGGGGAACGTAGTTTGTGAAATATATTACAATTATTTAAAACTATTTTTTTTTTTGGTACCGGGGATCGAACTCGGGTCCTTGCGCTTGCGCGGCAGGCGGCAAAACCACTGAACTAAATCCCCACCCCAGGAGAGGTAAGTTTTTAAAAATAGTTTTAAATTGGGCCGGGGATTTTAGCTCCGTGGTTTCGCAGCTGCGCAAGTGCAAGGACCCGAGTTCGACCCCCGGTACCAAAAAAACAAACAAAACCTACTTCCCCTTTTGGGAAAAGGGATAGAGACCGGAGGAAAAATTACTCAGATGAAACTTTGGCACGGATTCATTTTTAGAGATTTTTTTCTCTCATCCTTTTCTAATTGATTAATCATAACAAAACCTAAATTACCTATTGGGTATTTGCTGTGTGGCTTAGAGGAATTACAAAAAATAAAAATAAAAGGCTGGAAAATGCTGAGTGTTGCCCCTGGGGCATCATGATGTGATTACACTGGGAGGCTGGCAGAAGAAACAACCCTCCTACTGTGTCGTGCCATAGTGTATATCCACCGGCATGAATTAGTTTACATATATACATGCATGTAAAACTTAAAACAGAATTTTCTTGGGGGAAAACCCATTTCACAACATACATTAGTTTTCTATTAATTTCACTGTGTTAAAGAATTTAGGGAAAAAGATTGGTAGCAGTACTGCCGCCTAGTGGCAAATTTGAAGAAAGTTGTGTATTGGTTCTAATAAATAACAGCATAAAGGAAACACTAATTGTATATTTTATTGCTTAAATAAGCTTATTAAATATGTGTGCCCTGGGTACTGGATTAGGTTCTGGTAATAAAAAATTAATCTAGTCCTTCAGTTTTAGCAGATGACCTTGCCTTCTCTTTCATCAAGAAAATGATCAGGGAATAGTTGTCCAAATTCACCTGTATCTGTAAGATTCTTTTCCATTTTCCCTCTTAGTGTAGATGAGGTGGCTCTTCTATCTGATCTAATTCTTTACCTCCACGTTGGCTCAGTCACACCATCTCCTACATGCTCAGATAATTCTTGCCATTTCTGTCATAAATCTTCAATTTCTCCCCTCTACCTATTCTTTGCTATTAATATTTAAGCATAACTTCTTTTAACAGAATTCACCATTGTTATGGCCTATATTTAGATATCCCCACAAGCCTCATATGGTCTTACATGGGGCTTTTTCAGAGGTGACTGAATCTACAGTGTGTGATGATTCGTGGCGCAATTCTAGGCCTGAGTGCACTCGGATTAAGGGTATGAGTATTCTGAATAAGATAAAAGGAGCTGAAAGTCTTCCTTTGTTGCTTTTGCTGTCTTCTACCAGCCGGAACTGTTGCCCCTCTGCCCCCCTGTCTTGGCGCCAGCAGATTATGGACTGAAATCTCTACAAACTGTAAGCCAAATAGACTTTTTCCCCCTTTAACTTTAGGAGTTAGGCATTTTGTCTGAGCAATAAGAGAAAAATAACTAAGTCAACTATGCTTTCTCTTCTTCTTCGAGGGACTAGTTTTTAATATTGTCTTTTCTCCCACCTTCTACACAGTGCGCTCCAATGCAAACCTACCTTGTCATTCCACCAAAGCTAGTCTCACAAAAGTTCCAGTGAGACCCAGGTCACTAACTTCAGAGTATGATTTTTCAGTTATCCTTCTAATTAATCTCAATGCTTGGTCACTGTTGACCAAAGTTGTTTTTTTTTGAAGCATCTTCCTGTTGTCTTGTGCCACACCATTTATACCTTTTTTTAAAATTATCTGGCCACTCTTAAATCTCTTTTGTTAGATTGACCTCTTTTATTATTTTTTAATTTTGTCTTTATATTTATTTATTTATTCCTTGGTACCAGGGATCAAACTCAGGATCTTGTGCTTGCCAGGCATGTGCGGCACCACTGAGCTACATCCCTAGCCCTGTTTTGTTTTTAGAGTGACCTCTTTTAGCTAGTCCTTGAATATTGGAACTCATTTATAAGAGTGACTGTGGTTTCTCCCTCTTGGCAATATTGTCCATTCTCCTGGCTTCAGTTATCATTTGCACGCTGATCATCATCTAGTTAAATTTCTATCCCAGAGCTCTAAATTCCAGACTTGCATATCTACGAGTTAACTGGGCATTTCTATTTGAATGTCTCCTGGATAACACAGAGTCAGCATACATATCCAAAACTAAACTCCGAGACATGGTGGGACACACATATTCCCAGCACTTTGGTAGGCTGAGGCAGGATGATCACAAGGTCGAGCCCAGCCTGAGGAATATAGCAATTTAGCAAGACCCAGTATCATAAATAAATAATTAGGACTGGGGATACAGCTCAG